ATAGCAAACGGTGCCCAGCGACACGGTCTCCGACACATAGGCCCATGTTTGTTCGATTTGATAGTGATTAAAATTAGCTTTACTTTAATTCATTCCTAGTACAATACATCTTCTGATGTGTAATATTACGGCTCCCGGTGATAATTTACGTGCTGAGGTATTTTTTATTTTCTGAAAAGTTGGGATATTTTTTATATATATGGCAAAAGTTGGGGATTCTCTCTTATATATATCAATATTCCGTACTTATGAATATCACAATTACATTTAATCGTACCTTATCAAATGTGTAAAGTACACATAATTACAGTACTTGCTTTGCAATCACCAGATGTATCACGATGTTCAATAATGAAGAGAGTAGTGATCTTTTGTTCTCTACGCGAAAAAATCTGCTCAATCAGTCAATAATGAAGAGTACCGAATCGCATGATGTGAAACTTACAGCCCACATGCTCCACGTAGCAAAGTTCCATCCACGTTGATATCAAAGTATAATTGTAATGTCGAAGTGTAATGCGTACGAGGACAACAGTTAAAGTCCGACATTTATTGGATGAGTTTCTACTATTTGACAAAAATGGAAATGAATTTATTATCTTATAAAACTACCAATCTATCAATCTATCTTTTCCATTATTAGAAATACAAATTCCAGTAACTGTCGGCCAATAGCGTAAATAGACAAAATACGATGGAATAATATCATGATCGTCCTGCTCACAATAAGAAAGTACCTCACAGACTTGATCCTACTCACTGCAAGCTTATGATGCAGAGCATAAGATGATTCTTGCAAATGACGACAATGTATTTTTTGTGGACAAATATTTTGCCAACTAGATTGAGTCATTTCTAATCTGGTCTGTTGAGGTGAGCGGAGGGAAGCAGACGCGAAGAGTAGACACTTAAGCGGAAAGAGAGGAAAAAAAGGTGTGGAGTACACTTGGTACAATGTACCAGGATAGGAAGATGCTCTATCCTTCGCATGGTCAAAATTTGGCTTTTCTGTACCATAAGAGATGGATACATCAAGTACCCAATAAAGTACTCAGTGAAATAAATGACAAATCTTACCTTCATATTGATGATAATTTACGTGCTGGGGTATTTTTTTATTTTTTGAAAAGTTGGGATATTTTTTTT